CCACATAGCAGTTTAAAATGTGTATCTTTTAGATACCCAATCTGTAATATAGTACACTTATCATAATTGGGTTTTAGTGCAGAGAAACTGGAAAAATTATCCATGTCCTCAATAAGGCCCTTCAAGGTTAAAGATTGAGGACTTGAGAAAACTTGAATCGTCGGCATACATTGATACTTTTGTCTCCATACATTTTTAGCCCCTTAATGTTATCATTAGACTTAATTGCCTTTCCTTTTGCCTCGTCCCTCTCAAGCATAACATTTTTATAGCTAACAGTTCAATGGCCCTAATAAGTATGGTGACAGAAGGCAACCTTGTTTTACGCCTCTTGACAATTCAAATTTCTTAGAAGGATTGTTGTACATTACTTTTAGCCATTTTTTGAGAGATTCTCCAAAGTTAAACAAAAAATCCAGGCACTTATAAATAGATTCTAGACGTTTCTCAAAATCTGCTATAAAGATGATACCTGGTTTCCCTGCGTTCTCAAAAGTTTTCAATTATTTCTAGTAGTTACTCCAGTATATCTTCCTTTTAAGAATCCCGTCTGATCGTGATGAATAATGTCTGATAGGAGCTTTTTAATTCTATGAGCAATACATTTTGCCAATATTTTTGCATCTTTAACGTTGAAGGGTGAGGGGACTCACATTTTTTAAAGAGACAGAGTCTTTGTTCTGCCCCCCCCTGGTTCCTGCTTCAGTAGGAGAGGGATCAGTCCCTCTTTTTGTGTGTCATATTTGCCATTTATATACGAGTCATTCAAACATGATAGTAATGGATCTTTCAGTAGTTCATAAAAAGTTTGATATATCTCTATTGGAATGCCACCGAGGATAGGTGTTTTCCCCCGTCTGAAACGAATCAATTGCCAACCATAGTTCGTCCTGTGTAATTAGGCCTTCACAAGATATCACAAAACTCATCGACAAGTGAGGTAGGAGGAACTTGACAAGAGAACATTTTGTTTTAAAATATTTTCAAAATGTCCTTTGGTGAGATGAGGATTTCTCCATCGTTTGTAGCTATTTTCTGTAGGTTATTTTTGGTCGCTTAGGAAAAACATTTTTCGCTGTTCTCCCTCCAATTTGCTCTGTTTTTTTTTGATAAATGAAACCTGATCATTCCTGAATAAGTTCCTCAAACTCCTTTTATTTTGCGTCTAGATTATTCAGTTGCTTCTGTTGTACGTTGATCAACTCCATTGATATGTAATGTTAGATTTTCTATTTCTGTCTTAAGTCTTTTTCTCCGTTGACTGATACGTTTTTGTTTTGGGGATGAAAATGTAATTGAATGGCCTCTAAAGGAAAAAGTATGTTATGAATTTGTTCGTTATTGTTAAGAAAGGAGTGTCAATCAATAAACCCTGGTTAAAGTTCCAATATTCCGTCCTAGAGGAAAGTCTGTCATAGTTACATGGAGGGATATAAGTTGATGATCTGATCACATTTGATCCTCAATCAAATACTTTTTTCACTTTTGGCACCATAAAAAAGGATACCAGAAAATAATCAATCCGACTAGCTTGCACATGCTGGTCCCCCCGTGGAGACCCTTCTTCCCTGGCACCTCTGCGCAGTCAAACCATTAGGATTATGGTGTGCCGCAGGGCCACAGAATTCTGCCCCCTCTCTGATTGTCAGAGTGCGGCCCCCGCCTCACCCCCTTGGGTTACAGCAGCCAGTGTTGCCAGCACTACCATTACCTGGGTGAGGGTGCTCCATCGGAATTCCCACCGGCAAGGTACGGGGTCATCAAGGTTCTCATTAGCAGCTTTGGGGAATTTCCTTGTGTATTATGCTTGTCCAAACAGGGGCTTTGTCTTAGTTGGACCAACCCTGCGAGGAAGGCTCAGACTCATGAGGGGGGCGGTGCTGCTTTAGTGGGTCTCTGACCACGTGGATACCGGTAAGCATCAGATTCTCTCTAGGATACCGGTAAGCATCAGATTCTCTCTTGGATACCGGTAAGCATCAGATTCTCTCTTGGATACCGGTAAGCATCAGATTCTCTCTTGGATACCGGTAAGCACCAGATTCTCTCTTGAATACCGGTAAGCATCAGATTCTCTCTTGGATACCGGTAAGCACCAGATTCTCTCTTGGATACCGGTAAGCATCAGATTCTCTCTTGGATACCGGTAAGCATCAGATTCTCTCTTGGATACCGGTAAGCACCAGATTCTCTCTTGGATCTGACCAATCGGAATCCACGCTTCAAGATTGTTTTGATCACGCGGACTGGGATATGTTCCGGGTAGCTTGCGAAAATAATTTAGACGAATACACTGAAACAGGGACTGAGTTTATCAGGAAGTGTATAGGAGATGTTGTGCCCACTGTGACTATTAAAACCTACCCTAATCAGAAACCGTGGATAGATGGCAGCATTCGCGCAAAACTGAAAGCGCGAACCACCGCATTTAACCATGGGAAGGTGACTGGGAATATGGCAGAATACAAACAGTGTAGCTACTCACTCCGCAAGGCAATTAAACTGGCAAAACATCAGTATAGAGACAAAGTGGAGTTGCAATTCAACGGATCAGACACGAGACGTATGTGGTAGGCTCTACAGACAATCACGGACTACAAAAGGAAAACCAGCCACATCGCCGACACTGACGTCTCGCCGTCAGACAACCTAAACACCTTCTTCGCCCGCTTTGAGGATAACACAGTGCCACTGATGCAGCCCACTACCAAGGACTGTGGGCTCTCCTTCTCCGTGGCCGACGTGAGTAAGACATTTAAGCATGTTAACCCCCGCAAGGCTGCTGGCCCAGACGGCATCCCTAGCCGCGTCCTCAGAGCATGCGCAGACCAGCTGGCTGGTGTGTTTACGGACATATTCAATCTCTCCCTATCCCAGTCTGCTGTCCCCACATGCTTCAAGATGGCCATCATTGTTCCTGTACCCAAGAAAGCAAAGGTAACTGAACTAAATGATTATCGCCCCGTAGCACTCACCTCTGTCATCATGAAGTGCTTTGAGAGACTAGTCAAGGATCATATCACCTCTACCTTACCTGTCACCCTAGACCCACTTCAATTTGCTTACCGCCCCAATAGATCCACAGACGATGCAATCACCATCAAACTGCACACTGCCCTATCCCATCTGGACAAGAGGAATACCTATGTAAGAATGCTGTTCATTGACTATAGCTCAGCATTCAACACCATAGTACCCTCCAAGATCATCATTAAGCTCGAGGCCCTGGGTCTGAACCCCGCCCTGTGCAACTGGGTCCTGGACTTCCTGACGGGCTGCCCCCAGAGGGTGGTGCGGTCTGCCGAACGCATTACCGGGGGCAAACTACCCGCCCTCCAGGACACCTACAGCACCCGATGTCACAGGAAGGTCAAAAAGATCATCAAGGACATCAACCACCCGAACCACTGCCTGTTCACCCTGCTATCATCCAGAAGGCGAGGTCAGTACAGGTGCATCAAAGCTGGGACCAAGAGAATGAAAAACAGCTTCTATCTCAAGGCCATCAGTTTGTTAAATAGCCGTCACTAGCACATTAGAGGCTGCTGCTGCCTACTGAAATCACTGGCCACTTTAAAAAATGGAACACTAGTCACTTTAATAATGTTTACATATCTTGCACTACTCATCTCATATGTATATACTGTATCTTAGTCCATGCCGCTCTGTCATTGTTTGTCCATTCCTTACTTAGATTTGTGTGTATTGGGTTTATGTTGTGAACTTGTTAGATATTACTTGTTAGATATTACTGCACTGTCGGAGTTAGAAGCACAAGCATTTCGCTACACCCACAATAACATCTTCTAAACACGTGTATGTGACAAATAACATTTGATTTGATTTGATTTGGAGAGAAAAAAGCACCAGATTCTCTCTTGGATACCGGTAAGAACCAGATTGTCTCTCATTGATCTAGTTTGTATATCAAGTAAGGATTCTCTTAGAAACTTGTTTTAATATTGCTGTGATTAAATCTATAATACTCTGAGAGTCTGAGAGATGACGAGATGACTGTGATGACAGATGAATCCTACTAACCCTGAGAGATGACGAGATGACTGTGATGACAGATGAATCCTACTAACCCTGAGAGATGACGAGATGACTGTGATGACAGATGAATCCTACTAACCCTGAGAGATGATGAGATGACTGTGATGACAGATGAATACTACTGACCCTGAGAGATGACGAGATGACTGTAATGACAGATGAATACTACTAACCCTGAGAGATGACGAGATGACTGTGATGACAGATGAATACTACTAACCCTGAGCGATGACGAGATGACTGTGATGACAGATGAATACTACTGACCCTGAGAGATGACGAGATGACTGTGATGACAGATGAATACTACTAACCCTGAGAGATGACGAGATGACTGTGATGACAGATGAATACTACTAACCCTGAGAGATGACGAGATGACTGTGATGACAGATGAATCCTACTAACCCTGAGAGATGACGAGATGACTGTGATGACAGATGAATCCTACTAACCCTGAGAGATGACGAGATGACTGTGATGACAGATGAATACTACTAACCCTGAGAGATGACGAGATGACTGTGATGACAGATGAATCCTACTAACCCTGAGAGATGACGAGATGACTGTGATGACAGATGAATACTACTGACCCTGAGAGATGACGAGATGACTGTGATGACAGATGAATCCTACTAACCCTGAGAGATGACGAGATGACTGTGATGACAGATGAATACTACTGACCCTGAGAGATGACGAGATGACTGTGGTGACAGATGAATCCTACTAACCCTGAGAGATGACGAGATGACTGTGATGACAGATGAATACTACTGACCCTGAGAGATGATGAGATGACTGTGATGACAGATGAATCCTACTAACCCTGAGAAATGACGAGATTACTGTGATGACAGCTGAATCCTACTAACCCTGAGAGATGATGAGATGACTGTGATGACAGATGAATACTTCTGACCGCCGTTTTCATAAGCTCCATGCTCTTAGGTGAATATGTCTAGTCAATGAGAAACAGAAATCTGACTAGTAAACACAAACAGTCAGTCTGTCTGGGTGTTTTTCTCTCTCCTTATCTCTGCTGTCTGCAGTGTGCTGATTGGGCCATGATCATGATGATCATTCAAATGGTCTCTGTGTATTACGCTGAGACTGGGGCGGTCTGGTAGTGTGTCACAGTCTGGTCAGGGCATCCTACCCAGGTCAAGGGGTCACTGGATGTGAGCAGGTTGGATGGGAATGAGAAGCGTACCAGTGAAGTCAGAGAGAACAGGGGCGTTCCCTTGCCAGCAACAGCACATGCAGCCAGCCTGATTTCTTACCCTTCTTCCCCTCCTCTCCTCCCCTCCCCCCTCCTCTCCTACTCCTCTCCCCACCTCTCCTCTCCTCTCCTCCCCCCTCCTCTCCTACTCCTCTCCCCACCTCTCCTCTCCTCCCCTCCCCGCTCCTCTCCTACTCCTCTCCCCACCTCTCCTCTCCTCTCCTCCTCCCCACTCCTCTCCTCCTCCTCTTCCCTTTTCTCCTCTCCTCCCCTCCCCCCTCCTCTCCTACTCCTCTTCCCTCCTCTACTCTCCTCCCTCCTCTCCTCCTCCCCTTCTCTCTACTCACCTCCCCCCCTCCTCTCCTCTCCTCCTCGTCGCTTGCTCCTCCTATCCCATCACCTCTTCTCCCTTCCTCCCCTCCCTCCATCCTACTCACTCTCCCTCATCCCTCCTCTCCTCTCCTCCATTCCTTTGCCTCTTCCTCTCCCATCCCTAGTCTCCCTCCTACCCTACCCTCCCCACTACTATACTACCACATAGCCCCCCCATCTTCCTACTACCACCTTATCACCATACCCTAGACTCAGTACTTCTATGAACCACAGAGGGAGTTGCCTCACCACCACCAGTAACCACATGAGAATGTTAGTTTGGAACGGGGACTGGTCAGCTGGTTACTTCTCCCGCTGTTGTTGGTTTGTTGTGCGGCGAACATTTGGTCAGTCTGTCCCCTCCATGCCTGATCGGGGATCGTTAGGCTGAGTCTGGCTGGCCCTGTCCTGTTGTTTGAGTTGAGCTTCATTATCTCTGAACCAAACCATCTGTTATCTCTGTCTGTCTGTCTGTCTCTTTCTTTCTGTCTGTCTCTTTCTGTCTGTCTGTCTGTCTCTTTCTGTCTGACTGTCTCTTTGGCTGACTGTCTCTGTCTGTCTGTCTGTCTGTCTCTTTCTGTCTGTCTGTCTCTTTCTTTCTGTCTGTCTCTTTCTGCCTGTCTGTCTCTGACTCTCTTTCTGTCTGTCTCTGTCTCTTTCTATCTGTCTCTTTCTGTCTGTCTCTCTTTCTGTCTGTCTCAGCACCAGCCCAACCATCGATCCTCTTTTGAAATGTTCTAGTGTCAATGTGTCAATGTCTCTATTTGGAGCATGATGATATGTACCCATTCGTTTTGTCATGCTTTTGGAAACATCCCACTGGGCACACCATGTCATTTCAACAGGAGAATGTAGGTCATACTTGGTTGGGACGTTGATCAATGAGATTTCAACATTTATTCACCCACTCAAAAAGACTGCAAGAAGGTTGTTTAATTCCCAATGTGTTATCACTATACATTCAACCATCTAAAAGCACAACCAAATATGTCTGATTTTTGGTAGTATTCATACGCCTTGACTTATTCCACATGTTGTTGTGTTACAGCCTGAATTCAAAATGGATTAAATATATATTTTTCTCACCCATCTACACAAGATACCCCATAATGACAAAGTGAAAACATGTTTTTAGAAATGTTTGCAAATTTATTGAAAATGAAATACAGAAATATCTCATTTACATAAGTATTCACACCCCTGAGTCAATACATTTTAAAAGCACCTTTTAAATTGTATTTGTCACGTGCCGAATACAACAGGTGTATACCTTACAGTGAAATGCTTACTTACAAAAAGTAACACAATAGAATAACAATAACGAGGCTATATACAGGGGGTACCGGTACTGAGTCAATGTTCGGGGGGTACAGGTTAGTCGAGGTAATTGAGGTAATTTGTACATGTAGGTAGGGGTAAAGTGACTATGCATAGATAATAAACAGCAAGTAGCAGCAGCGTAAAAAAGATCATTGCTAGACAGACATTTTCAAGTCTTGCCATAGATTTTCAAGCCAATTTAAGTCAAAACTGTAACTAAGCCACTCAGGAACATTCAATGTCGCCTTGGTAAGTAACTCCAGTGTATATTTGGCCTTGTGTTTTAGGTTATTGTCCTGCTGAAAGGTGAGTTTGTCTCCCAGTGTCTGTTGGAAAGCAGACTGAACCAGGTTTTCCTTTAGGATTTTGCATGTGCTTAGCTCTATTCCGTTTATTTTTTATCCTAAAAAACTCCCTAGTCCTTGCTGATGACAAGCATACCCATAACATGATGCAGCCACCACCATGCTTGAAAATATGAAGAGTGGTACTCAGTGATGTGGTGTGTTGGTTTTTCCCCAAACATAACGCTTTTTGTATTCAGGAGATAAAGTTAATTTCTTTACCACATTTTTTGAAGTATTACTTTAGTGCCTTATTGCAAACATGATGCATGTTTTGGAATACTGTTATTCTGTACAGGCTTCCTTCTTTTCACTCTGTCATTTAGGTTAGTATTGTGGAGTAACTACAATGTTGTTGATCTATCCTCAGTTTTCTCCTATCAAAGCCATTAAACTCTGTAACTGTTTTGTCTCCGTCGGTAGAGCATGGCACTTGCAACGCCAGGGTTGTGGGTTCGATTCTCCCAGGGGACCAGTACAAATGAAAATGTATGCACTCACTAACTGTAAGTCGCTCTGGATAAGTGTCTGCTAAATGACTAAAATGTCAAAATGTAAATGTTGTAAAGTCACCATTGGCCTCATGGTGAAATCCCTGAGCGGTTTCCTTCCTCTCCGGCAACTGAGTTAGGAAGGACGCCTTTATATTTGTTGTGACTGGGCATATTGATACACCATCCAAAGTGTAATTAATATTCTTCACCATGCTCAAGGGGATATTCAGGGCTCTATTTTAACTAACCTAAGGCAATAGTAAATCTAAGAGGTAGCGCTATAGGTTCAGGGGTGTGTCAGAAATATTGTTGCTATTTTCACGTCACATTTATCGGCGCATTTGCTGGCGTTTGGCACGAAGGGGCTGGGTTTGGATGAATAAACAAGTTGTGGGTGTGTCAAGGCTTGGCACCTCACTGGCCAATCAGAACGTGCTCCATGGTGAAATATGTGGTTGCTTCAAGTTGTGTATTTACGGTCTTTTATGTATTGCCTTGGAATCAACTCCAATTCCAATATTAGTCTGTTATAGTTTGTTAAATGGCTTACAGAAACAAAATAACAAAATGTAGACTTATCTTTGCTAAATAAGTTAACTTGAACCCATTTGCAGTCCACATTGTTCTAAGTAATTGCATGGCTTCAATAGCATTCACACTGATATATTTATTTAACTAGGCAAGTCAGTTAAGAGCAAATTCTTATTTACAATGACGGCCTACTTGCACAGCTCCGCGGCCAATCCCTCCCCTAACTCGGACGACGCTGGGCCAAATGTGCGCCGCCCTATGGGACTCCCAATCATGGCCGGTTGTGATACAGCCCGGGATCAAACCAGGGTCTGTAGTGACGCCTCTAGCACTGCGAAGCAGTGCCTTAGACCGCTGTGCCACTCGGTAGGCCTAGGGGCTATGCCTACTGTAAATTGCATTATGGCTGAGCATGGGAATGCCAAACATTGTCAATAAGCAAGATTAAATTAATTATTGATAAGGCCTAAAAAGAGAACGAATAATTCAAATCAAATTATGAAGAAAACAACAACTCAATAGGCTATGTCACACTACATGCACCATAATGTCTCCCTGTGGGCATGTAATATTAAAACAACGCAAGACTATGGAGAGTTTTACATACATCCCCAAAAGAAATGGAAGGGAGTATGTCCACTCACTGTTATCCTGCTCCTAAATAGGCCTATGTTTTATGAACATAAACGGAACCATCTTACAGATCAGATCCCATTCACACATCTCCAGACGTTGCATTGCAAGCGCGCCACGGACGTTGTCACCATAAAACCAGGAAGGTGAATCATTCTAATAAGTTTGGTTGTAATAAAATTTAACGAAAAACAAGTTTAAAAAAAATACACAATAAAAGGATAAAAAAAGTAATTGCTGAACAAGCTGTTGTTATAGTAGGCCTAAGGGTTTGGAACATACAGTGCATTCGGAAAGTATTCAGACCCCTAGACTTTTTCCACATTTTGTTACGTTACAGCCTTATTCTAAAATTGAATAAATCATTTTTTCCCCTCATCAATCTACACACAATACCCCATAATGACAAAGCAAAAACAGGTTTTTACACATTTTTGCAAATGTATTACAAATAAAAAACGGAAATAGTACATTTACATAAGTATTCAGACCCTTTACTCAGTACTTTGTTGAAGTACCTTTGGCAGCGATTACAGCCTCGAGTCTTCTTGGGTATGACGCTACAAGCTTGGCACACCTGTATTTGGGGAGTTTCTCCCATTCTCCTGTGCAGATCCTCTCAAGCTCTGTCAGGTTGGATGGGGAGCGTTGCTGCACAGCTATTTTCAGGTCTCTCCAGAGATGTTCGATCGGCTGTTCGAAGGCTGTAATGTAACAAAATGTGGAAAAAGTCAAGGGGTCTGAATTCTTTCCGAATGCACTGTATGAAATGGAAAACAAGCCATTGTTACAGGTTACAGATAACTTCTAAATACAAGGTTTACCGGTATTCATCGAGGTACTCATCTCTCGTTTCATGATGGGCATGGACACGTAGCCTACATCATGGAGGGGGTTTTACGCACGTCCAAAACGGGACCTGCATGGCTAAAATAATGTGGGCCTGCCTACAATACATATATAAAAAGAGAATGTCAGCTCACTGTTTTACTCCTCTCAAACGTGATATTTATTTCCAAGAGCTCAGGAGCCAAACCCTATATCGATAGTCTTGACTACTTCGCGAATGCATTGGGCAGACAAAAAAAGCCTTAATTGAGAGGAGGGGAGGCTATGCTTGGTTTCTAATAAAAGAAAACGAAATGTTTCTAAATATGAAGTAGACAGGCACCAAATCATTGGGCTAGTCTTGTTCCATGCACATATGGGCAGTGTGCGTCACGGCTGGATAGGCTGCGTTTCCGCTGTCAAAATTCATGCCATAACCAACTGCGTTACCGCTAAAACCAGCTTTCGGTTGGTCTTAAATATCCCCATCAGCGCTGCCTGAAATTAGCACTTTGGATCATGTTTTTAAGGACACACCTCAAATATTTCCACCCCCCATCTGAGCGAAAGCGAGCTGATATAATTGCCGAACCTGGCGCTAGGGCTGGGAAATACCAGTGTGCCAGTTTTTACATTACGAAATTGCAAACTAACATGCATTTGACATTAGCACCGCCTTAACGCCAGCTCAAAATAGAGCCCTCGGTGTCTGCTTTTTTTTATTTTTTCACCCACCTATCAATATATGCCCTTCTTTGCGAGGCATTGGAAAACCTTCCTGGTCTTTGTGGTTGAATCTGCGTTTGAAATTCACTGCTCGACTCAGGGACCTTACATATAATTGTATGTGTGGGATACAGAGATGAGGTAGTCATTAAAAAAATCATGTTAAACATTTTTTTGTTTGTTGTCATTTTAGCAGACGCTCTTATCCAGAGCCACTTACAGGAGCAATCAGGGTTTAGTGCCTTGCTTAAGGGCACATCAACAGATTTTTCACCTAGTCGGCTCGGGGATTAGAACCAGCGACCTTTCGGTTACTGGCACAACGCTCTTAACCACTAAGCTACCTGTTTAACACGTTAAATACTATTATATTGAGTCCATGTAACTTATTATTATTTACTCCTGAACTTATTTAGACCATAACAAAGGGGTTGAATACTTATTGACTCAAAACATTTCAGCTTTTCATTTTTTATTAATTTGTAAAAATTTCTTTAATCATAATTCCACTTTGACATTATGGGTTATTGTGTGTAGGCCAGTGACACAAAATCTCAATTGAATCCATTTTAAATTCAGGCTGTAACACAACAACATGTGGAAAAAGTCAAGGGGTGTGAATACTTTCAACCCCTTTCTTATGGCAAGCCTAAATAAGTTCAGGAGTAAAAATGTGCTTAACAAGTCACATAATAAGTTGCATGGACTCAATTATTGTTTAACACGTGAATCCAACATATCAATTATTAATTTGTAGACAAACTGGAATTAAAGCCAGACTAAGTCAGTGGCACAGATGGAACTATCAAAGCAGAAGATACATTTCCTTCAAATGTTTATATTTGGTTGAGTTGACAACCAAACGCAATTCAACATCCAGTTTGTCTACAAATTAATAATTGATAGGTTGTACTCAAGTCTCCATCTCAACCAAAATGTACAGTTAAAGAATGGGGCTAAATCAAATCAAACTTTAAATGCACTTTAAATCAAGTTTGATTTGATTTAGTCCTATTCTTTAACTTTTTGGTGTTTGGTTGAGATGGAGACGTGAATCCAACATATTAATGATTAACTTGATGATAAAATTTGAAATCCACCAAAGCTTGAAATCCTTGACCTACAGTTGAAGTCGGAAGTTTACATACACTTAGGTTGGAGTCATTAAAACTCGTTTTTCAACCACTGCACAAATTTCTTGTTAACAAACTATAGTTTTGGCAAGTCGGTTAGGGCATCTACTTTGTGCATGACACAAGTAATTTTTCCAACAATTGTTTACAGACAGATTATTTCACTTATAATTCCAGTGGGTCAGAAGTATACATACACTAAGTTGACTGTGCCTTTAAACAGATGGAAAATTCCAGAAAATTATGTCATGGCTTTAGAAGCTTCTGATAGGCTAATTGTGTGACAAGGTGTGAATGAAGGAGTCAGGCGCAGTAGGTAAAATACCGAAGTCCAGAGTTTATTCCGTTTACATAAATCAAACGCCCCAAGCGTCAAACGAAACTATTACAAGGGAAAACATCCACCTTGGCATAAACACAGTGAAGAATAGCTCAACCGAGCTACACGCTCTCACAACAAACAATCACTCACAAAGACAAGGGGAACAGAGGGAACACTTATACACATACTAATTAGGGGAATGAGCACCAGGTGTGTGTGATTGACAAGACATGACAAGTGGAGTGATGAGAATGGGATCGGCAGTAGCTAGTACTCAGGTGACGACGAACGCTGAAGCCTGCCCGAACCAGGAGGGGGGGCAGCCTCGGCGGAAGTCGTGACAAATTGACATCATTTGAGTCAATTGGAGGTGTACCTGTGGATGTATTTCAAAGCCTACCTTCAAACTCAGTGCCTCTTTGCTTGACATCATGGGAAAATGAAAAGTGTGTAGACCTCCACAAGTCTGGTTCATCCTTGGGAGCAATTTCCAAACGCTTGAAGGTATCACGGTCATCTTTACAAACAATAGTACCCAAGTATAAACACCATGGGACCATGCAGCCATCATACCGCTCAGGAAGGAGACGCGTTCTGTCTCCTAGAGATGAACGTACTTTGGTGCGAAAAGTGCAAATCAATCCTAGAGCAACAGCAAAGGACCTTGTGAAGATGCTGGAGGACACAGGTACAAAAGGATCTATATTCACAGTAAAACGAGTCCTATATCGACATAACCTGAAAGGCCGCTCAGCAAGGAAGAAGCCACTGTTCCAAAACCGCCATAAAAAAGCCAGACTACGGTTTGCAACTGCACATGGGGACAAAGATCTTACTTTTTGGAGAAATGTCCTCTGGTCTGATGAAACAAAAATAGAACTGTTTGGCCATAATGACCATCGTTATGTTTGGAGGAAAAAGGGGAACGCTTGCAAGCCGAAGAACACCATCCCAACCGTGAAGCACGGGGGTGGCAGCATCATGCTGTGGGGGTGCTTTGCTGCAGGAGGGACTGGTGCACTTCACAAAATAGATGGCATCATGAGGGAGGAAGATTATGTGGATATATTGAAGCAACATCTCAAGACATCAGTCAGGAAGTTAAAGCTTGGTCGCAAATGGGTCTTCCAAATGGACAATGACATTTCACATTCTTAAAATAAAGTGGTGATCCTAACTGACCTAAGACAGGGAATTTTTACTAGGATTAAATGTCAGGAATTGTGAAAAACTGAGTTTAAATGTATTTGGCCAAGCTGTATGTTAACTTCCTACTTCAACTGTATATTTACGTCATTTAGTAGACACTCTTATCCAGAGCGACTTACAGGAGCAAAACCGGGGTTAAGTGCATTGCTCAAGGGCACATTGACAGATTTTTCACCTAGTCGGCTCAGGGATTTGAACCAGTAACCTTTCAGTTACTGTCCCAACGCTCATAACTGCCAGGCTACCTGCCTGTTTATTTTAGTTAAACCCTGGGTTGAATTGAAACAATAGCTGTTGATGACTTTGCAAACGCTACATAGGCCTAAACAGTATCATTGATGATATATCAAATCACATTTTATTTGTCACATTCGCGTCGGACTCATTAAAGAAAAAATCTTCGTCCAGTTCGAGGTGAGTAATCGCTGTTCTGATGTCCAGAAGCTCTTTTCGGTCGTAAGAGACAGTAGCAGCAACATTACGTACAAAATGAGTTACAAACAATGCGAAAAAACAAACAAAATAGCACAGTTGGTTAGGAGTCCGTATATTTCATTTGGTCTGTTAAACCTACCTTTTGGAATGACTTCGCAAATATATTTAGTTTATTAAGAGATCTTTCAATAATGATTCTCATGATAGCACATTGGTATTAGTCAGTGACAAATATCAAAGTTAAGCCGTGCTGGGCTTTGTTAATACCGTGGATGTGAAACCAAATGAATAATTGTAGATAGATCAACTCTTCAGAGATGCTGCCCAGCCTATTGGTTTTTTTCTGATAGTGGATATACAGTAACGTTGATCAGACGTTGTTTCAAAGGTACATGTTTTACATATTTTATAGAAGGTTTGTCTGTTTAAAATGGTTTACAATGATGACATAATCCTGTGGTTGAAATGTCACCCTCAAAACAATAGTTTATGACTTTTTTTCAAATCCAGTGTATGTATTTTCCATGTAGATATGATTCCATGTCACAATACGTTGACAAATTACGTTGAAACAACATTGATTCAGCCAGTTTGTGTCCAGTGGGATTTTTTTGTTGTCCATAGATTGATGAGGGGAACTTGCGTACTTCCCCCTTTTGGATTGAAAGTTTCTGCGTTAAGGAAAGTGAGAGGGCGAAGAGTTAACTTTTCACAGTGTGAGCCAGTGAGAGTTTACCACAGGACAGAGTTCAGGGGTCAACAGGGTTCATTCTCTCCAGCTCCATCTGTATTGTGTGTTCAGAAAAGAAAGGGATAGTCCCAACAAGATCTCACGGTTTTGACTTCAGATTCAGATGTTTCGTCCACTTTCTGGAATCGAAACACGTGACCCTTGGGAGCCAGAGCTCGCGGCTTACGCCCCACCCGCCATCACCATCCACAACGCCCTAGCAACGCCCAAGCCTACTTGACGGCAATAGCGCTCATCGTTGTCCTCTAGTGGCGTGTTATGAAGGCATCTCCCGACATCCTCGGGACATGGATGGACGTCAACTTTCAAAGTGAATGCTGGCTGATAGGCCTATGTTTTTATGTATAATTATGTTTTTTAAAAACCATTTGGTCTCTGAGCTCACACAGGAAATTCTGCTAAGATTTATTGAGAAAAACGGGGAACTTGGAACTGGGAAGTAATCTAGAAACCCATCAGTAGCATGTGGATTGTTAGTATGACATGATGATGATATCTCTCTTTTGGCTTCTCATCATCACTGTATTGATTTAAGTCTCAGACACGGGACAGCAGAGGATTTTCTGAGTTTATATGATCCAATATTCTCAGCCTGTGGGAGAGATTAGTTTGTGTGTGTGTGTGTGTGTCTAATCATGTGAGTATAGGGAGGGAAGCTGTGACAATACCCTGTCTCCTGCCCTCCCCCTCAGATTTACTGACACAATTGATCAGACGTCAACCTAATTTAGCAAAGAAATGAAAATGAATGTTTCTGTGTGATTTTGTTTGTTATTTGACTGTGTGTGTGTGTGTGTGTGTGTGTGTGTGTGTGTGTGTGTGTGGTTCTAGTGAGTTGTTTGGCAGTAGGCGGTGAACCAGGTTCTAGTGAGTTGTTTGGCAGTAGAGTCTCAGGGTGGTGAACCAGGTTCTAGTGAGTTGTTTGGCAGTAGAGTCTCAGGGCGGTGTACCAGGTTCTAGTGAGTTGTTTGGCAGTAGAGTCTCAGGCAGTGAACCGGTTTCCTAGTGGAACCAGGTTCTAGTGAGTTGTTTGGCAGTAGAGTCTCAGGGGCGGTGAACCAGGTTCTAGTGAGCTGTTTGGCAGTAGAGTCTCAGGGCGGTGAACCAGGTTCTAGTGAGTTGTTTGGCAGTAGAGTCTCAGGGCGGTGAACCAGGTTCTAGTGAGTTGTTTGGCAGTAGAGTCTCAGGGCGGTGAACCAGGTTCTAGTGAGTTGTTTGGCAGTAGAGTCCTCAGGGCGGTGACCAGGTTCTAGTGAGTTGTTTGGCAGTAGAGTCTCAGGGCGGGTGAAACCAGGTTTCTAGTGAGTTGTTTGGCAGTAGAGTCTCAGGGCGGTGAACCAGGTTCTAGTGAGTTGTTTGGCAGTAGAGTCTCAGGGCGGGTGAACCAGGTTCTAGTGAGTTGTTTGGCAGTAGAGTCACAGGGCGGTGAACCAGGTTCTAGTGAGTTGTTTGGGCAGTAGAGTCTCAGGGCGGTGAACCAGGTTCTAGTGAGTTGTTTGGCAGTAGAGTCTCAGGGCGGTGAACCAGGTTCTAGTGAGTTGTTTGGCAGTAGAGTCTCAGGGCGGTGAACCAGGTTCTAGTGAGTTGTTTGGCAGTAGAGTCTCAGGGCGGTGAACCAGGTTCTAGTGAGTTGTTTGGCAGTAGAGTCTTAGGGCGGTGAACCAGGTTCTAGTGAGTTGTTTGGCAGTAGAGTCTTAGGGCGGTCAACCAGGTTCTAGTGAGTTGTTTGGCAGTAGAGTCTCAGGGCGGTGAACCAGGTTCTAGTGAGTTGTTTGGCAGTAGAGTGGTGAACCACTTCTTAATTACATGTTGGCAGTATCTAATGACTCTCGCAGTCTGCTCTCCTGATTACTTTAGTAGGCATTATGTTTTGTATCACTCTGTCACAGTGCAACACACACACACACACACACAGACTCGCACACACACACACAGACACACACACACACACATGCCCCCACTCCCAGTAGCCTGCTCTCCAGACCGTAGATATTATTAGTTAGTGGACCACTGGCTTATTGAATTACCACACACTGGAGGGCTCAGTCTACACTGAGTGGACAAAATATTATGAACACCAGCTCGTTCCATGACATAGACTGACCAGGTGAAAGCTATGATCCCTTTTTGATGTCACTTGTTAAATCAACTTCAGTCAGTGTAGATGAAGGGGAGGAGACAGGTTAAAGAAGGATTTTTAAGCCTTGAGACAATTGAGACATGGATTGTGTATGTGTGCCATTCAGAGGTTGAATGGGCAAGACAAAAGATGTAAGTGCCTTTGAACAGGGTATGGTAGTAGGTGCCAGGTGCACCGGTTTGTGTCAAGATCTGCAACGCTGCTGGGTTTTTCACGCTCAACAGTTTCCTGTGCATCAAGAATGGTCCACCACTCAAAGGACATCCAGCCAACGCTTTCGAAACCTTGTAGAGTCCATGCCCCGACGAATTGAGGCTGTTCTGAGGGCAAAAGGGGAGGGGGAGGTGTTCTTAGTGTTTAGTATATGTGTGTGTGTTGTTAGTGTTTGTATCCACTAGCCTGTAATTAACTACCACAGATTTAAATGGATTGTGGTTTGGGTTTATGCTATGTTGACTTCCAGCATGATCTTTGGTGTATGACGAGAGCAAGGTGGGTTGGTTTATGCTATGTGACTTCCCGCTACTTAGTGTCTTGAGAGAGCAACATCTCTGTCTGTCCTTACTGTAGCTGTCTCTGAATGTAGCCATCTCTGTTGTCTTACTGTAGCTGCTCTGAATGTAGCCTCTCTGTCTGTCCTTACTGTAGCTGTCTCTGAATGTAGCCATCTCTGTCTGTTCTTACTGTAGCTCTGAATGTAGCCATCTCTGTCTGTCTTACTGTAGCTGTCTTGAATGTAGCCATCTCTGTCTGTCCTTATGTAGCTTCTCTGAATGTAGCCTCTCTGTCTGTCCTTACTGTACTGTCTTGAATGTAGCCACTCTGTCTTCTTACTGTAGCTGTCTCTGAATGTGCCATCTCGTCCTGTCCTTAGTAGCGTCTCTGAATGTAGCCATCTCTGTCTGTCCTTACTGTAGCTGTCTCTGAATGGTAGCCATCTCCTATGTCTTTCTTACGTAGCTCAGTGAATGTAGCCATCTCTGTCTGTCCTTACTGTAGCTGTCTCTGAATGTAGCCATCTCTGTCTGTTCTTACTGTAGCTGTCTCTGATGTACCATCTCTGTCTGTCCTTACTGTAGCTGTCTCTGAATGTAGCCATCTCTGTCCTGTCCTACTGTAGCGTCTCTGAATGTAGCCATCTCTGTCGTCCTTACTGTAGCTGTCTCTGAATGTAGCCATCTCTGTCGTCCTTAACTGTAGCTGTCTCTGAATGTAGCCATCTCTGTCTGTTCTTACTGTAGCTGTCTCTGAATGTAGCCATCTCTGTCTGTCCTTACTGTAGCTGTCTCTGAATGTAGCCATCTCTCTGTCTGTCCTTACTGTAGCTGTCTCTGAATGTAGCCATCTCTGTCTGTCCTTACTGTAGCTGTCTCTGAATGTAGCCATCTCTGTCTGTCCTTACTGTAGCTGTCTCTGAATGTAGCCATCTCTGTCTGTCCTTACTGTAGCTGTCTCTGAATGTAGCCATCTCTGTCTGTCCTTACTGTAGCTGTCTCTGAATGTAGCCATCTCTGTCTGTCCTTACTGTAGCTGTCTCTGAATGTAGCCATCTCTGTCTGTCCTTACTGTAGCTGTCTCTGAATGTAGCCATCTCTGTCTGTCCTTACTGTAGCTGTCTCTGAATGTAGCCATCTCTGTCTGTTCTTACTGTAGCTGTCTCTGAATGTAGCCATCTCTGTCTGTCCTTACTGTAGCTGTCTCTGAATGTAGCCATCTCTGTCTGTCCTTACTGTAGCTGTCTCTGAATGTAGCCATCTCTGTCTGTCCTTACTGTAGCTGTCTCTGAATGTAGCCATCTCTGTCTGTTCTTACTGTAGCTGTCTCTGAATGTAGCCATCTCTGTCTGTCCTTACTGTAGCTGTCTCTGAATGTAGCCATCTCTGTCTGTCCTTACTGTAGCTGTCTCTGAATGTAGCCATCTCTGTCTGTCCTTACTGTAGCTGTCTCTGAATGTAGCCATCTCTGTCTGTCCTTACTGTAGCTGTCTCTGAATGTAGCCATCTCTGTCTGTTCTTACTGTAGCTGTCTCTGAATGTAGCCATCTCTGTCTGTTCTTACTGTAGCTGTCTCTGAATGTAGCCATCTCTGTCTGTCCTTACTGTAGCTGTCTCTGAATGTATCCATCTCTGTCTGTTCTTACTGTAGCTGTCTCTGAATGTAGCCATCTCTGTCTGTCCTTACTGTAGCTGTCTCTGAATGTAGCCATCTCTGTATGTTCTTACTGTAGCTGTCTCTGAATGTAGCCATCTCTGTCTGTCCTTACTGTAGCTGTCTCTGAATGTAGCCATCTCTGTCTGTCCTTACTGTAGCTGTCTCTGAATGTAGCCATCTCTGTCTGTCCTTACTGTAGCTGTCTCTGAATGTAGCCATCTCTGTCTGTTCTTACTGTAGCTGTCTCTGAATGTAGCCATCTCTGTCTGTTCTTACTGTAGCTGTCTCTGAATGTAGCCATCCTTACTGTAGCTGTCTCTGAATGTAGCCATCTCTGTCTGTTCTTACTGTATCTGTCTCTGAATGTAGCCATCTCTGTTCTGTCCTTACTGTAGCTGTCTCTGAATGTAGCCATCTCTGTCTGTTCTTACTGTAGCTGTCTCTGAATGTAGCCATCTCTGTCTGTCCTTACTGTAGCTGTCTCTGAATGTAGCCATCTCTGTCTGTTTCCTTACTGTAGCTGTCTCTGAATGTAGCCATCTCTGTCTGTCCTTACTGTAGCTGTCTCTGAATGTAGCCATCTCTGTCTGTCCTTACTGGTAAGCTGTCTCTGAATGTAGCCATCTCTGTCTGTCCTTACTGTAGCTGTCTCTGAATGTAGCCATCTCTGTCTGTCCTTACGTAGCTGTCTCTGAATGTAGCCATCTCTGTCTGTCCTTACTGTAGCTGTCTCTGAATGTAGCCATCTCTGTCTGTCCTTACTGTAGCTGTCCTCTGAATGTACCATTACTGCTGTTACTGTAGCTGTCTCTGAATGTAGCCATCCTCTCTGTCTGTCCTTACTGTAGCTGTCTCTGATGTTAAGCCATCTCTGTCTGTCCTTACTGTAGCTGTCTCTGAATGTAGCCATCTCTGTCTGTTCTTACTGTAGCTGTCTCTGAATGTAGCCATCTCTGTCTGTCTCTTACTGTAGCTGTCTCTGAATGTAGCCATCCTTCTCTAGAGCTGTCCTGAATGTAGCCATCTGGTCCTTACTGTAGCTGTCTCTGTAATGTTACTGCCATCTCGAATGCTCCTGTTTCTTACTGTAGCTGTCTCTGAATGTAGCCATCTCTGCTGTCCTTACTGTAGCTGTCTTGAATGTACCATCCTTTGTCTTACTGTAGCTGTCTCTGAATGTAGCCATCTCTGTCTGTTCTTACTGTAGCTGTCCTCTGAATGTAGCCATCTCTGTCTGTTCTTACTGTAGCTGTCTCTGAATGTAGCCATCTCTGTCTGTCTTATGACGTCTGAGTAGCCATTGTCTTCTTATGAGCTGTCTAGATGTAGCCATCTCTGTGTCTTAGTAGCTTCTGAATGTAGCCATCTCTGTTGTCTTACTGTAGCGCTCTTGATGTACCATCTTACTGTAGCTGTCTCTGAATGTAGCCATCTCTGTCTGTCCTTACTGTAGCTGTCTCTGAATGTAGCCATCTCTGTCTGTCCTTACTGTAGCTGTCTCTGAATGTAGCCATCTCTGTCTGTTCTTACTGTAGCTGTCTCTGAATGTAGCCATCTCTGTCTGTCCTTACTGTAGCTGTCTCTGAATGTAGCCATCTCTGTCTGTTCTTACTGTAGCTGTCTCTGAATGTAGCCATCTATGTCTGTTCTTACTGTAGCTCTGTGAATGTAGCCATCTCTTTTTCCCCATGTATCGGTTCTCATCAAGTCATAGTAAATATCACCATTTTGTTTGTATCCATTCTGTTTGGAGGTAATAGAGTAATGGGTATAGAAATGCGTAATGTAAATGACTTGATCATAGCTAGGCACGTGTTATACTGTATAATTATGTAGCTCTGGACAACATTGTCACCTCAGAATTATGGTTATTGTGATGTTATGTATTACAGACCACCATACACTGGTGTAGGCTTTCCAGTCTGAGATTCATGGGAGGCAGCATTAGCACACTAGCTGTACCTGTCTGCTAGCGTTTTCTCAGAATAATCTCTGTAACCCTGGGATACTGATATGATCTCTTTTGAACTTGGTCGGGAGGGATTTGGCAACAGGTGACCTTTGAGTCGCAACAGCAGGGGTCAAAGGTGAACAGAGCTCCTCTGTCTGTTTTCACTGTGTATTGGAGTCAGTCTACAACATACTACAGTCTGCAATGATTTTTCACAAGTTCTGTTCCTCATTTAAGGAAGGTGAGTGTGAAAAGTACACAAACATACATTCCGGCGCGTTTGTGGAGTGATTTACATAGAATAGCGTTACGTTTTTGTGGAGTGATTTACATAGAATAGCGTTGCGTTTGTGGAGTGATTTACATAGAATAGCGTTGCATGGGACAGCCGGTGGAGTTGGGTCAGGTCAGGCAGTATTGCCCCGTTAACCACCACAGACAGCCCTTTCCATTTACGCTTCCTCTGGTGGCCATGCTGGCTTCTTGCCACACACACACAACATTCCTCCCTCAGAGCACGCTAACCTCGGCCACCCCTTTTCTTTTAGGAATCTCACTAGCTGACTGTGTGTCAAATAAGAAGGGATAGTTTTGTGCTTGGTCGGGGGTAGGCTGGCTATGCTTGATGTATACTGCTCAGGAAGTCCCTGCTGCTCAAAACTAGACAGATATTGTATCTTCCCAAGACTGGAGAGATAGTTGGCTAGTTTTGGGCCACACGGGCCATTGAGAGCTGCTGAGTTATACTGCATATATGACCGACCGCCTCGTTTCGGTCTTATGTAGCATCGTTTGAAATAGTGTTATTTACATTGGATAAAAGTATAGACTCAAAGCTACAAAATGCTACATCATACACTGCAGTTGAGGAACAATGGGAATGTAATTCTGCTTTAAAAGTTCATAAACTTGTAACCCCACTTTTGAGAAAAGTGTCCTTGAATGTTTTGATACACCTACTGGAGAGTTCTTCTTTGTCTACACCTATTCAGCATCGTTCACACCCTCTTCAGCCTTAGCCCCACCCATCTCTTTAAGGATTCACATGTGAGGCCATGTGCTAAACAGAGTGAGTAAGGTAGTGTAGTAAACAACCAAAGATGTCAATACCAAAAGTGGTTTAGGTAGTAGCCTACAATAAGGAAAAACTCCAGGTAAAAATACACTTTATCTAGTCCTTGGCCTATATCCTAATCTGACTATGAATGTGTCCTGATAAAAATATTTTATAAATATTTTATAATTATTAGATGATGCTTACCCAGACACTCTAAAGTGATGGGTAATGTGAAAGAAATGCTATAACCATCCCCCATCTAGCTAAGTGGGTGGGTCACTATCGTCTAGACATGTACACATGTTCATGAAATACAATAGATGGCTGTAATCACTCCCAGACACACCTGGCTAACTGGATGAGTCATGTGATCATTCTCTTGTAAAGTGGAGTCTTTTGTTTAGACAATATCCAGCCAGGCCAGCTGGAAAGATGCCTCAGTATGTGTCTGTCTGTCTTCTTGGGAGAGCCCATACATTACAGAAGGAGAGGGGTGGGGGCTGTAGTCCATTACTGGGGGAGATGGGGTGGGGGCTGTAGTCCATTACTGGGGGAGATGGGGTGGGGGCTGTAGTCCATTACTGGGGGAGATGGGTGGGGGCTGTAGTCCATTACTGGGGAGATGGGGTGGGGGCTGTAGTCCATTACCTGGGGGAATGGGGTGGGGGCTGTAGTCCATTACTGGGGGAGATGGTGTGGGGGCTGTAGTCCATTACTGGGGGAGATGGGGTGGGGACTGTAGTCCATTACTGGGGGAGATGGGGTGGGGGCTGTAGTCCATTACTGGGGGAGATGGGGTGGGGGCTGTAGTCCATTACTGGGGGAGATGGGTGGGGCTGTAGTCCATTACTGGGGGAGATGGGGTGGGGGCTGTAGTCCATTACTGGGGGAGATGGGGTGGGGGCTGTAGTCCATTACTGGGGGAGATGGGGTGGGGCTGTAGTCCATTACTGGGGAGAGGGGGCGTAGTCCACTGGAAGGGTGGGGGCTGTAGTCCATTACTGGGGGAGATGGGGTGGGGGCTGTAGTCCATTACGGGGGAGATGGGGGGGGGGCTGTAGTCCATTACGGGGGGGGGGGGGGGGTGGGTGTTTGGTGGGTGGGGTGTGTTGGGGGGGGGGGGGGTGGGTTGTTTCTTGTATGTCCATTACTGGGGGAGATGGGGTGGGGGCTGTAGTCCATTACTGGGGAGAGGGTGGGGTGCTGTAGTCCATTACAAGAGTGAGAGGGGTGGGGGCTGTAGTCCATTACTGGGGGAGATGGGGTTGGGGGCTGTAGTCCATTACTGGGGGGAGATGGGGTGGGGGCTGTAGTCCATTACTGGGGGAGATGGGGGTGGGGGCCTGTAGTTCCATTACTGGGGGAGAGGGGTGGGGGGCTGTAGTCCATTACATGAGGGAGAGGGGTGGGTGCTGTAGTCCATTACAGAGGAGAAGGGGTGGGGGCTGTAGTCCATTACTGGGGGAGATGGGGTGGGGGGCTGTAGTCCATTACTGGGGGAGATGGGGTGGGGGCTGTAGTCCATTACTGGTGGGAGAATGGGGTGGGGGCTGTAGTCCATTACTGGGGGGAGATGGGGTGGGGGCTGTAGTCCATTACTGGGGGAGATGGGGTGGGGCTGTAGTCCATTACTGGGGGGAGATGGGGTGGGGGCTGTAGTCCATTACTGGGGGAGATGGGGTGGGGGGCTGTAGTCCATTACTGGGGGAGAGGGGTGGGGGCTGTAGTCCATTACTGGGGGAGAGGGGTGGGGGCTGTAGTCCATTACTGGGGGGGGGGGGGGGGGGGGGGGGGGGCTGTAGTCCATGGGGGGGGTCTGTAGTCCATTATAGTTTTCTGGCTAAAGAGGAAGTTGCACAACATCTGTTCTCTGGCATACAGAAGCAGGATTAGCAGGCAAACAGCTGTGGTACTACAGCATGTAATGTGTTTGATATTGTTTCATTCAGCTCTGTCCGTCTCTAACCCTGTCTCTTTGACTCATCCCCACAGATTCCCAAGGGCCAATGAGCATGCCCCACTCCCATGGCCCTCCAATGGGGGGCATGGTGGGACACCCCTCCGTCAGCAGCACCTCCAGGCCCCTCCCATCCCCAATGAGCACCCTGGGCTCGCCCATGAATGGCCTGGCGTCGCCCTACTCCGTCATCACGTCTTCACTGGGCTCGCCCTCCACGCCAGGGATCAACTTCGGATCGCTCCACAGTCCACAGATGAGAGAGGTGTGTGCCTGATCTCGCTGTGTCATTATGGGGTATTGTGTGTAGATTGATGAGGAATGTTTGTTATTTTATCCATTTTAGAATAAGGCTGTAATGTAACAAAATGTGGAAAAATTCATGGGGTCTGAATACTTTCCGAAGGCACTGTATATACAGTTGAAGTCGGAAGTTTACATACACCTTAGCCAAATACATTTAAACTCAGTTTTTCACAATTCCTGACATTTAATCCTCGTAAAAATTAAGAACGTGAAATGTCAGAAAATAGTAGAGAGAATTATTTATTTCAGCTTTTATTTCTTTCATCACATTCCCAGTGCCTTTAAATTGTTTAACTTGGGTCAAACGTTTCGGGTAGCCTTCCACAAGCTTCCCACAATAAGTTGGGTGAATTTTGGCCCATTCCTCCTGACAGAGCTGGTGTAACTGAGTCAGGTTTGTAGGCCTCCTTGCTCGCACATGCTTTTTCAGTTCTGCCCACAAACTTTCTATAGGATTGAGGTCAGGGCTTTGTGATGGCCACTCCAATACCTTGACTTTGTTGTCCTTAAGCCATTTTGCCACAACTTTGGAAGTATGCTTGGGGTCATTGTCCATTTGGAAGACCCATTTGCGACCAAGCTTTAACTTCCTGACTGTCTTGAGATGTTGCTTCAATATATCCACATCATTTTCCTTCCCCATGAAGCCATCTATTTTGTGAAGTGCACCAGTACCCACAGAATGATGCTGCCACCCCCTGTGCTTCATGGTTGGGATGGTGTTCTTTGGCTTGCAAGCAACCCCCTTTTCCCTCCAAACATAACGATGGTCATTATGGCCAAACAGTTCTATTTTTGTTTCATCAGACCAGAGGACATTTCTCCAACAAGTAAGATCTTTGTCCACATGTGCAGTTGCAAACCGTAGTCTGGCTTTTTTATGGCGGTTTTGGAGCAGTGGCTTCTTCCTTGCTGAGCGGCCTTTCAGGTTATGTCGATATAGGACTCGTTTTACTGTGGATATAGATACTTTTGTACCTGTTTCCTCCAGCATCTTCACAAGGTCCTTTGCTGTTGTTCTGGGATTGATTTGCACTTTTCGCACCAAAGTACATTCATCTCTAGGAGACAGAACGCGTCTCCTTCCTGAGCGGTATGACGGCTGCGTGGTCCCATGGTGTTTATACTTGCGTACTATTGTTTGTACAGATGAACGTGGTACCTTCAGGGGTTTGGAAATTGCTCCCAAGGATGAACCAGACTTGTGGAGGTCTACAAATTTTTTTCTGAGGTCTTGGCTGATTTCTTTTGATTTTCCCATGATGTCAAGCAAAGAGGCACTGAGTTTGAAGGTAGGCCTTGAAATACATCCACAGGTACACCTCCAATTGACTCAAATGATGTCAATTAGCCTATCAGAAGCTTCTAAAGCCATGACATCATATTCTGGAATTTTCCAAGCTGTTTAAAGGCACAGTCAACTTAGTGTATGTAAACGTCTGACCCACTGGAATTGTGATACAGTGAATTATAAGTGAAATAATCTGTCTGTAAACAATTGTTGGAAAAATTACTTGTGTCATGCACAAAGTAGATGTCCTAACCGACTTGCCAAAACTATAGTTTGTTAACAAGAAATGTGTGGAGTGGTTGAAAAACGAGTTTTAATGACTCCAACCTAAGGGTATGTAAACTTCCAACTTCAACTGTATATTACATATGGTATGTAAGGTGAAGGTCCCAATCAAAGCATGAGCTAAGTATGCGTTTAGCCTGTTTATAGCTAGTACTAATACTTTATATCAAGTAGTAATAGTTGTAAAGCATGTCTGAACCCTATCTATGTATATCATGTACTGTATCAAGAATGTATGAAGCATATGCTCACTCAAATACACGCACAAATTTCCAATCCACATGTTATCGTATCTATTTTAGCCAACTCAGTGGTCGACAGGAGACAAGAGGTGCAAAGTGCGGAAAGATGATAAGGAACCCATAAAAATATAATTTTGACAACGTTTGTTCAGTAATTAGGAACTCTGTGGGAAAGGATTTACAACACACCTTTGCTAAAACCAGTATATATATTTCCTTCTAGTCAGCATTTACACTGAACTGTCTTGACAAACTAATATATTGAACCCATAAAATCCCAGCCTGCCCTAAAGCTGGTGTGACCCTACGCTTCTCTCTGCTGGTGAGAAGTGAGAAGTGCAGATTGGTGAACGCAACAGCTCAGCTCTCCTCCCACGCTCACACAGTCAACAAACATTAGAAGCCTGCATGGCAAAAACTCACATAGGAAACACTCCCTTTAACCAGCCATGTGATCATGTGATCGCAGCCTCAGCCACTTTACTATCACACATGTGGGGGTAAAGAGTAAGAGGGGAAGAAGGAAAGGGAGAGGAAAAGGGGGGAGAGGGGAAGAAAAAGGAAATACGGGGGAGAGGAAGGGGGAAAAAGAAATTTTTTTAAAAAAAAAAAAAAGGGGGGGGGGGGGGACCCCCCCCCCGGGGAGGGGGTTTTCCCCCCAAAGGGGGGGGCCCCCCCCCCCCCCCCCCTTTTTTTTTTTTTTTTTCTGGGGGGGGGGTTTTTTTGGGGGGGGGGGGGGGGGGGGCCCCCCCCCCTTTTTTTTTTTCCCCCCCCCCCGGGGGGGGGGGGGGGGGGGTTTTTTGGGGGGGGGGGGGGGGGGGGGGGGGGGGGGGGCCCCCCCCCCCCCCCCCCCCCCCTTTTTTTTTTTTTTTTGGGGGTGGGGGGGGGTTTTTCCCCCCGGGGGGGGTTTTTTCCCCCCCCCCGGGGGGGGGGGGGGGGGCCCCCCCCCCTTTTTTTTTTTCCCCCCCCCCCTTTTTTTTTTTTGGGGGGCCCCCCCCCCCCCCCCCTTTTTTTTTTTTTTTTTTTTTTTTTTTTTCCCCCCCCCCCCGGGGGGGGGCCCGGGTTTTTTTTCCCCCCGGGGTTTTTTTCCCCCCCCTTCCCCCCCTTTTTTTTTTTTTTTTTTTCCCCCCCCCCCCCCCGGGGGGGGGGGGGGGGGGGGGGGGGGGGGGGGGTTTTTGGGGGGGGAAAAAAAAAAGGGGGGGCCCCCCCCTTTTTTTTTTTTTTTTTTTTCCCCCCCCCCCCCCCCCCCCCCCCCCCCCCCCCCCCTTTTTTTTTTTTTTGGGGGGGGGGGGGGGTTTTTTTTCCCCCCCCCCCCCTTTTTTTTTTTTTTTTTCCCCCCCCCCTTTTTTTTTTCCCCCTTTTTTTTTTCCCCCCCTGGGGGGGCCCCCCCGGGGGGGGGGTTTTTTTTGGGGGGGGGGGGGGGGGGGGGGGGGGTTTTTTTTTCCGAAAAAGGGAAAAAAAAGGGAAAGAAAAGGGAGCCCCCCCCCCCAAAAAATTTTTTTGTTTTTTTGTAGAAAAAGGCCCCTTTTCAAACACAACCCCCCCGGGGTTTCCCAATCTCTCAACTACACTCCCCCCCTAGGTTTTTCCCCAAAACCTCCTTTTTTCCCCGCCCTCAGGTAAAAAATTGGGGCCACACCCCCCCCCCGGGGGTTCCCTTTTCCCCCCCCAACGAAAGGGGCCCCCTTGGGAGCAACCCTTTTGTGACAATTGAAAAGTTTACCCAAATTTAATTTTGTTTTCCCCCTTTTGCTTTTTTTTTTTCCAGTCATCATCCAATAACCATGGACTATGACATAGATTAAGGGGGAAAGGTATTACGTTTAATGGCGCAGTTTCTCAGGTAAAGCAGTGGAGTTGATGTTTTGGATGTTGTTTACCCAGGGAAGCACTATGGCGTGTACAGTTGTGAAGGCTGCAAAGGCTTCTTCAAGAGAACCATCCGGAAAGACCTCACCTATACGTGTCGAGACAGCAAGGAGTGCTTGATAGACAAACGACAGCGCAACCGCTGCCAGTACTGCCGCTACCAGAAATGCCTAGCCATGGGCATGAAGAGAGAAGGTGTGTGTAAGTGTGTGCGTGTAGAGAGGGGAGGAGAAGGAAGGAGGTTGTGTGTGTATCAGTGGAGGCTGCTGCGGGGAGGACGGCTCGTAATAATGTCTGGAACGGAGTCAATGGAATGGTATCAAACACATCAAAAAAACATGGTTTCCATGTGTTTGATGCCATTCCACTGACTCCGTTCCAGACATTATTATGAGCTGTCCTCCCCTCAGCAGCCTCCACTGGGGTGTGTGTAGAGAGAAGGGAAGGAGGGAGGATGTGTGCTCTTCCGAGTGTGTCGGGGGCGGATCTGTAACGCATGGGTATTCATTGGTATGTGTGGTATGTGTGGTATGTCTACATTTAAGATGTTAGTCATTTAGCAGACGCTCTTATCCAGAGCGACTTACAGTTACTACATTAATCTTAAGATAGCTAGGTGGGACAATGTGGAGTTGTCAACCGTGATGGAGAGGTCTTTGAGTGGGCAGGCCTTTCCCGGGAGGAAGAGCAGCTCAGTCTTGTCGAGGTTGAGGTGGTGGGCCGACATCCAAGTTGAGATATCTGCCAGGCACGCAGAGATGTGTGTCGCCACCTGGGTGTCAGAAGGGGGCAAGGAGAAAAGTAGTTGAGTGTCGTCCGCATAGCAATGATAGGAGAGACCATGTGAGGATTTGACGGAGCCGAGGAGAGGGCCTAGAACCGAGCCCTGGGGGACACCAGTAGTGAGAGTACGTGGTGCAGACACAGATCCTCTCCACGTCACCTGGTAGGAGCGACCTGCCAGGTAGGATGCAATCCAAGAATGTGCAGAGCCTGAGACGCCCAGTCCTAAGAGGGTGGAGAGGAGGATCTGATGGTTCACTGGGTCGAAGGCAGCGGATAGATATAGGAGGATCAATCAAACAAATGTATTTATAAAGCCCTTTTTACATCAGCAGATGTCACAAAGCGCTATACAGAAACCCAGCCTAAAACCTCAAACAGCAAACAATGCAGATGTAGAAGCACGGGGGCTAGGAAAAACACCCTAGAAAGGCAGGAACCAAGGAAGAAACCTAGAGAGGAACCAGGCTCTGAGGGGTGGCCAGTCCTTTTCTGGCTGTGCCGGGTGGAGATTATAAGAGTACATGGCCATTAAGGCCAGATTGTTCTTGAAGATGTTCAAACTTTCATAGATGACAAGCAGGGTCAAATAATAATCAAAGTGGTTGTAGAGGGTGCAACAGGTCAGTACCTCAGGAGTAAATGTCAGTTGGTTTTTCATAGCCGAGCATTCAGAGGTCGAGACAGCAGGTGCGGTAGAGAGTGAGTCGAAAACAGCAGGTCCGGGACAAGGTAGCACATCCGGTGAACAGGTCAGGGTTCCATAGCCGCAGGCAGAAGAGTTGAAACTGGAGCAGCAGCACGACCAGGTGGACTGGGGACAGCCAGGAGTCATCAGGCCAGGTAGTCCTGAGGCATGATCCTAGGGCTCAGGTCCTCCGGGAGGGGAGGGAGAGAGGGAGAGAGAGAGAATTAGAGGGAACATACTTAAATTCACACAGGACACCAGATAAGACAGACTGACCCTAGCCCCCCGGCACAGACTATTGCAGCATAGATACTGGAGGCTGAGACAGGGGTGGGTCGGGAGACACTGTGGCCCCGTCCGATGATACCCCCGGACAGGGCCAACCAGGCAGGATATAACCACACCCACTTTGCCAAAGCACAGCCCCCACACCACTAGAGGGATATCAACAGACCACCAACTTACTACCCTGAGACAAGGCTGAGTATAGCCCACGAAGATCTCCTCCACCGCACGAGCCTGAGGGGGCGAAAAACCAAATGAGAACAGAGGAGAGAGAGTCAGCTTTGGCGGTGCGGAGAGCCTCTGTGACACAGAGAAGAGCAGTCTCGGTTGAGTGACCCATCTTGAAGCCTGACTGGTTAGTGTCAAGAAAATCGTTCTGAGAGAGATAATGAAAAAGTTAATCAGAGTGTTCAAGTGTTTTGGAAAGAAAATAAAGAAGGGATACAGGTCTATAGTTTTTGACATCAGATGAGTCAAGTGTTGGTTTCTTGAGGAGGGAAGTGACTCTGCCATTTTGAAGTTAGAGGGGACACAGCCAGTGGTCAGTGATGAGTTGATGAGGGAAGTGAGGAATGAGAGAAGGTCTCCAGAGATGGTCTGGAGAAGGGAGGAGGGGATGTGGTTGAGCGGGCAACTTGTCGGGCGGCCAGACCTCACTAGTCGCAGGATTTCATCTGGAGAGAGAGGTGAGAAAGAGATCAAGGCGTAGGGTAGTTCTGTGTGAGTGGGACCAGTGGACTCAATAGGCTGAGTGTCTACTGTCTACTGTTGTGTGTTGTGCTGTAAGTGCATATGTGGCAAATGTGTTTCAATTTTCTGTGTCCATTTGGAATGGTTGTGGAACGTCTGGTAGATTGTTGTGGATTGCCTGGTGTGTTTTGGCACCACGTGTGTCATGCTTTGTGGATGTGTGTGATCTGTGAAGTTCATATACAGAAACCTCTAACCTTTGCCCTGTGACCCCATGCAGCGGTGCAGGAGGAGAGGCAGCGGGGGAGGGAGCCGGGGGAGAATGAGGTGGAGTCCACCAGTAGTTTTAATGAGGAGATGCCCGTCGATAAGATTCTGGACGCAGAGCTTGCCGTGGAACCCAAGACAGAGACATCTGCAGACGAAGGCCCTGGCAACTCGGTAAGGATGACATAGAGCAGTGTTTCTTAAAGGTCCAATGCAGGTGTTTTTATCTCATTATCAAATCATTTCTGGGTAACAATTAAGTACCTTTACTGTGATTGTTTTAAATTAAAATGGTCAAAAAGCAACAAAAATAGCTTCTTAGCAAAGAGCTATTTCTCAAGCAAGAATTTTGCTAGGACTCTCTGGGAGTGGTCTAAGCGGGGAGAGGAAAACTGAAAACTAGCTGTTATTGGCAGAGAGGTTTGGAACTCGCTTTCTTATTGGTCTATTAACTAATTTACCGCCTGGTGATGTCACCAGGCAGGCCAAAACTCCATCTCACCAAAACAGGCGGAAATTTAAGCCGGTCTTTTCGAACAGCTCTTTACACTAAAAGGGCATTATCACAATGTTCACCATTTCATAGTATTAGTCCAACCTTATAGTGTGGAGATATATATACCGCACTGGGCCTTTAATCCTGGTCTTGGGGACACATTTTAGTTTTTCTGATACCACTAATCAACTCATCATCAAACATTTGACTAGTGGAATCGGGTGTGTAGTGCTAGGGCAACAACTACAATGTGCATCCCTTTGGGTCCCAGGACCAGGATGAAGAACCACTGACATAAAGCATAGACTGTCCACTAACATAGAGCATAGACTGTCCACCGACATAGAGCATAGACACAGAGCTATTGAACATGGAAAGAGCACCTGTAAATGAGAGAGCATCTCCCTCCTGTAAACGAGAGAGCATCTCCCTCCTGTAAACGAGAGAGCATCTCCCTCCTGTAAATGAGAGAGCAACTCCCTCCTGTAAACGAGAGAGCAACTCCCTCCTGTAAACGAGAGAGCATCTCCCTCCTGTAAACGAGAGAGCATCTCCCTCCTGTAAACGAGAGAGCATCTCCCTCCTGTAAACGAGAGAGCATCTCCCTCCTGTAAACGAGAGAGCATACGAGAGAGCATCTCCCTCCTGTAAACGAGAGAGCATCTCCCTCCTGTAAATGAGAGAGCATCTCCCTCCTGTAAACGAGAGAGCATCTCCCTCCTGTAAACGATATCCATTTAATGTTAATGGATAAGCTGGAATATGATTCAGATATGTTGTATCTTACTTATCTTATCTTATCTTACCCTCTCTGTCTGTATCTTCTGTCCAGACAAACGACCCGGTCACCAACATCTGCCAGGCAGCAGACAAACAGCTGTTCACCCTGGTGGAGTGGGCTAAGAGGATCCCTCACTTCTCAGAGCTGCCCTTAGACGACCAGGTTATTCTACTACGGGCAGGTACAGCACATCTACTTATAAGTACTCAGACAGAAGCCTGAGTGCACATTTTTGTTAGAGGGGTAGAAAATCGGACCGTCCTCAGCCATAGTCTATTTCAGTTTGTTTCGCTCTGGTCATAGCTAAATCATCAAATCAAATCCAGTTTTATTTGTCACATGCATTGTAAACAACTAACAGTGAAATGCTTACTTACAATGCAGAGAGAAAAATAGAAAAATTATAGAAAAAATAATAACACGAGGAATAAACAATAACTTGGCTATATATAATAATATGCCATTTAGCAGACGCTTTTATCCAAAGCAACTTACAGTCATGTGCGCATACATTTTTACGTATGGGTGGTCCCGGGGATCGAACCCACTACCCTGGCGTTACAAGCGCCATGCTCTACCAATTGAGCTACAGAGGACCACGGGATACTAGTACTGAGTCGATGTGCAGTGGTACGAGGTAATTGAGGTAGATACACTACATGATCAAAAGTATGTGGACAAGTGCTCGTCGAACATCTCATTCCAAAATCATGGGCATTAATATGGAGTTGGTCCCCCTTTGCTGCTATAACAGCCTCCACTCTTCTGGGAAGGCTTTCCACTAGATGTTGGAACATTGCTGCAGGGACTTGCTTCCATTCAGCCACGAGCGCATTAGTGAGGTCGGGCACTGATGTTTGGCAATTAGGCCTGGCTCGCAGTCGGCGTTCTAATTCATCCCAAAGGTGTTCGATGGGGTTGAGGTCAGGGCTCTGTACAGGCCAGTCAAGTTCTTCCACACCGATCTCGACAAACCATTTCTGTATGGACCTCGCTTTGTGCACGGGGGCATTGTCATGCTGAAACAGGAAAGGGCCTTCCCCAAACTGTTGCCACAATGTTGGAAGCACAGAAAAGAAGAATTCCCTTCACTGGAACTAAGGAGCCTGAACCATGAAAAACAACCCCAGACCATTATTCCTCCTCCACCAAACTTTACAGTTGGCACTATGCATTCGGGCAGGTAGCGTTCTCCTGGCATCCGCCAAACCCAGATTCGTCCGTTGGACTGCCAGATGGTAAAGCGTGATTCATCAGCTTTACACCACTCCAGCCAACGCTTGGCATTGCGCATGGTGATCTTAGGCTTGTGTGCGGCTGCTCAGCCATGGAAACCCATTTCATGAAGCTCCCGATGAACAGTTCTTGTGCTGACGTTGCTTCCAGAGGCAGTTTGGAACTCAGGACAGACGATTTTTAGCACTCTGCGTTCCCGTTCTGTGAGCTTGACATTTCCACTTCACAATAACAGCACTTACAGTTGACCGGGGCAGCTTTAGCATGGCAGTAATTTGACAAACTGACTTGTTGGAAAGGTGGCATCCTATGACAGTTCCACGTCGAAAGTCACTGAGCTCTTCAGTAAGGCCATTCTACTGCCAATGTTTGTCTATGGAGATTGCATGGCTGTGTGCTCGATTTTACACACCTGTCAGCAACGGGTGTGGCTGAAATAGCAGAATCCATTCATTTGAAGGCGTGTCCACATACATTTGTATATATAGTGTATGTACATACAGTGGCTTGCGAAAGTATTCACCCCCTTGGCATTTTTCCTATTTTGTTGCCTTACAACCTGGAATTAAAATTTATTTTGGGGGGGTTTGTATCATTTGATTTACACAACATGCCTACCACTTTGAAGATGCAAAAACATTTTTTGTGAAACAAACAAGAAATAAGACAAAAAAACAGAAAACTTGAGTGTGCATAACTATTCACCCCCCCAAAGTCAATACTTTGTAGAGCCACCTTTTGCAGCAATTACAGATGCAAGTCTCTTGGGGTATGTCTCTATAAGCTTGGCACATCTAGCCACTGGGATTTTTGCCCATCCTTCAAGTTGGATGGGTTCCGCTGGTGTACAGCAATCTTTAAGTCATACCACAGATTCTCAATCGGATTGAGGTCTGGGCTTTGACTAGGCTATTCCAAGACATTTCAATGTTTCCCCTTAAACCACTTTAGTGTTGCTTTAGCAGTATGCTTAGGGTCATTGTCCTGCTGGAAGGTGAACCTCCATCCCAGTCTCAAATCTCTGGAAGACTGAAACAGGTTTCCCTCAAGAATTTCCCTGTATTTAGCGCCATCCATCATTCCTTCAATTCTGACCAGTTTCCCAGTCCCTGCCGATGAAAAACATCCCCACAGCATGATGCTGCCACCACCATGCTTCAGTGTGGGGATGGTGTTCTCGCGGTGATGAGAGGTGTTGGGTTTGCGCCAGACATAGCGTTTTCCTTGATGGCCAAAAAGCTAAATTATAGTATCATCTGACCAGAGTACCTTCTTCCATATGTTTGGGGAGTCTCCCACATGCTTTTTGGCGAACACCACATGTGTTTGCTTATTTTTTTCTTTAAGCAATGGCTTTTTTCTTGCCACTCTTCTGTAAAGCCCAGCTCTGTGGAGTGTACGGCTTAAAGTGGTCCTATGGACAGATACTCCAATCTCCGCTGTGGAGCTCTGCAGCTCCTTCAGATTTATCTTTGATCTCTTTGTTGCCTCTCTGATTGATGCCCTCCTTGCCTGGTCCGTGAGTTTTGGTGGGCAGCCCTCTCTTGGCAGGTTTGTAGTGGTGCCATATTCTTTCAATTTTTTAAATAATGGATTTAATGGTGCTCCGTGGGATGTTCAAAGTTTCTGATATTTTTAAATAACCCAACTCTGATCTGTACTTCTCCACAACTTTGTCCCTGACCAGTTTGGAGAGCTCCTTGGTCTTCATGGTCTTCATTGCTTGGTGGTGTCCCTTGCTTAGTGATGTTGCAGACTCTGGGGCCTTTCAGAACAGGTGTATATATACTGAGATCATGTGACACTTAGATTTTACACAGGTGGACTTTATTTAACTAATTATGTGACTTATGAAGGTAATTGGTTGCACCAGATCTTATTTAGGGGCTTCATAGCGAAGGGGGTGAATACATATGCACGCACCACTTTTCAGTTATTTATTTTTTAGAATTTTTTGAAACAAGTTATTTTTTTCATTTCACTTCACCAATTTGGACTATTTTGTGTATGTCCATTACATTAAATCCAAATAAAAATCCATTTAAATTACAGGTTGTAATGCAACAAAATAGGAAAAATGCCAAGGGGGATGAATACCTTTGCAAGGCACTGTATAGGTAGGGGTAAAGTGACTAGGCAACAGGATAGATAATAAACAGTAGCAGCAGCATATGTGATGAGTCAATAGAGTTAGTGAAAAAGGGTCAATGCAGATAGTCCAGGTAGCTATTTGGTTAACCATACTGAACAAAAGTACAAACGCAACATGCACATTCACTAATAATGACTAACTTCTTATTAGGCTATAGGAAATTAACACAGGTCTCATCAACAACCTCTCAAGCCCACGTGCTAGTGATTAGCCAGCTAATCTTTATACACTGAACAAAAATATAAAACACAACATGTAAAGTGTTGGTCCCATGTTTCATGAGCTGAAACAAAATATCCCAGAAATGTTCCATATGCACAAACAGCTTATTTCTCTTAAATATTTGCACAAATTTGTTTACATCCCTGTTAGTGAGCATTTCTCCTTTGCCAAGATAATCCATCCACCTGACAGGTGTGGCATATCAAGAAGCTGATTAAACAGTATGACATTACACAGGTGCACCTTGTGCTGGGAACAACTAGTTTTGACTAGTTTTCTGATCCACACCCCTACCTTTTTTAAAAAAGGTATCTGTGACCAACAGATGCATATCTGTATTCCCAGTCATGTGAGATCCATAGATTAGGGCCTAATTAATTTATTTCAATTGACTGATTTCCTTATATGAACTGTAACTCATAAAATCTTTGAAGTTGTTGCATGTTGCGTTTATATTTGTGTTAAGTGTATTTAGCAGTATTATGGCTTGGGGGTAGAAGCTGTTCAGGGTCCTGTTGGTTTCAGAGTTGGTGCATCGGTACTGCTTGCCATGCGGTAGCAGAGAGAACAGTCCATGACTTGGGTGGCTGGAGTCTTTGACAATCTTTAGGGCCTTCCTCTGACACCGCCTTGTATATAGGTCCTGGATGGCAGGGAGCTCGGCCCCAGTGATGTACTGAAGTATTTGACAATCTTTAGGGCCTTCCTCTGACACCGCCTTGTATATAGGTCCTGGATGGCAGGGAGCTCGGCCCCAGTGATGTACTGAAGTATTTGACAATCTTTAGGGCCTTCCTCTGACACCGCCTTGTATATAGGTCCTGGATGGCAGGGAGCTCTGCCCCAGTGATGTACTGGGCCGTACGCACTACCCTCTGTAGCGCCTTGCGGTCAGATGCCAAGCAGTTGCCGTACCAAGCGGTGATGTAGCCAATCAATATGCTCTCAATGGTGCAGCTGTGGAACTTCTTGAGGATCTGTGGGCGCAGAAGAGTCGAAGAGTATGGTGTGGAATGCTGAGCTGTAGTCGATGAACAGCATTCTCATATAGGTGTTCCTCTTGTTCAGGTGGGAGAGGGCAGTGTGGAGTGCAATAGAGATTGCGTCATCTGTGGATCTGTTGGGGCGGTATGCGAATTGGAGTGAGTCCAGGGTGTCTGGGATGATAGTATTGATTTTAGCCATGACCAGCTTTTTAAAGCCTTTCATGGCTACAGATATGAGTGCTACTGGGTGGTAGTCATTTAGACAGGTTACCTTGGTGTTCTTGGGCACAGGGACTATGTTGGTCTGCTTGAAACATGTAGGTATTACAGACAGGGTCAAGGAGAGGTTGAACATGTCAGTGAAGACACTTCCCATGCTCTGAGTATGTATCCTGGTAATCCGTCTGGCCCTGCGGCCTTGTGAATGTTGACCTGTTTAAAGATCTTACTCACATCGGCTACGGAGATCGAGATCACACAGTCGTCTGGAGCAGCTGGTGCTCTCATGCATGGTTCAGTGTTGCTTGCCTCGAAGCGAGTATAGAAGGCATTTTGCTCATCTGGTAGGCTCGCGTCACTGGACAGTTTGCAGCTGAGTTTGCAAGCCCTGCCACATCCAACGAGCATCAGAGCCGTCATAGTAGGATTCGATCCTTGTCCTGTTTGATGGCTCGTCAGAGGTCGTAGCGGGATTTCTTATAAGTGTCTCGATTAGTGTCCCGCTCCTTGAATGCGGCAGCTCTAGCCTTTAGCTCAGTGCAGATGTTGCTTGTAATCCATGGCTTCTGGGTTGGGATATGTACGTACGGTCACTGTGGGGACGACGTTGTCGATGCACTTATTAATGAAGCCGGTGACTGATGGGGTAAACTCCTCAATGCTATCGGATGAATCCCGGAACATATTCCAGTCTGTGCTAGCAAAACAGTCTTGTAGCTTAGCATCCGCTTCGTCGGGCCACTTCCTGTTTCAGTTTTTGCTTGTAAGCAGAAATCAGGAGGATAGAGTTATGGTCAGATTTGCCAAAGGGAGGGCGAGGGAGAGCCTTGTATGTAAAGGTTTTCTGTGTGTGGAGTAAAGGTTTTCTAGAGTTTTGTCGCCTCTAGTTGCACAGGTGACATGCTTGTAAAAATGAGGTAAAACAGATTTCAGTTTCCCTGCATTAAAATGTGGTCTTAGTGCCAGCATCGGTTTGTGCTGGTAAATAGACAGCTACGAAAAATATAGATGAAAACTCTCTTGGTAAATAGTATGGTCTGCAGCTTATCATGAGGTATTCGAACTCAAGCGAGCAAAAACTTGAGACTTCCGTAACATTAGAGATTGCACACCAGCTGTTGTTAACAAAGAGACGCACCCCTCCTCCCCTCATCTTACCCGAGGCTGCCGACCGGTCTTGACAATGCATGGAAAAACCAGCGAGATGTTTATTATCCATGTCATTGTTCAGCCACGACTCCATGAAACATAGAATTTTACAGTTCTTCAGGTCCCGTTGATAGGATAGTCTCCAACGGAGCTCATCCAGTTTGTTCTCTAGTGACTGTACGTTCAAATCAAATCATCAAATAAAATTGTATTGGTCACATGCGCCGAATACAATAGGTGCAGACATTACAGTGAAATGCTTACTTACAGCCCTTAACCAACAGTGCATTTATTTTAAACAAAAAAAGTAAAAATAAAACAACAACAAAAAAAGTGTTGAGAAAAAAAAGAGCAGAAGTAAAATAAAGTGACAGTAGGGAGGCTATATATACAGGGGGGTACCGTTGCAGAGTCAATGTGCGGGGGCACCGGCTAGTTGAGGTAGTTGAGGTAATATGTACATGTTCACCAACAGAACAGAGGGTAGAGGCAGTTTATTTGCTCGCCAACGTAGTCTCATCAGGATTCTGCCTCGTATTTTTCTCTCATATTGATGTTGCATCCTAGAACCAAATTCAACCTGACCTGGTCGTTGCATAAACCAGTTTCCCAGTTTCCAGAGCCATATCTGCAATGAACAGATTGCCAGCAATGACTCTTGCAAAAACACCCCAACTCTGACCTCTGCTGGTGGGATATTTCAAACACTGACCCTAAACGTGGGAGAGGAAATATCACACCGCATCACTAATGAGCTGAAGAGGTTTTAATAGCCTGATAGGAAACCAAAAGAGAGAGAGAGAAAGATACATGAAGAGAAAAGGAGATGTTTGAAGATAGAGTCGGAGAGATAGAGAAGTGGGAGGGATAGAGAAAGAGCGATATGAAGCTAGAGGGTGAGATGAGATAGAGAAATAAAGAGAGAACAGTAGATAAACACTAGCATTCATGCAGTGACGTTGGTTGCCAAGTAACGATCCCTGTGTGTTTATCTGTTTATGTTCAGGCTGGAACGAGCTCCTCATCGCGTCTTTCTCACACCGCTCTGTCACGGTAAAAGACGGAATCCTATTGGCCACGGGCCTCCACGTCCAGAGAAGCAGTGCCCACAGTGCCGGAGTGGGCTCCATCTTTGACAGAGTCTTGACAGAGTTGGTGTCAAAGATGAAAGACATGAAGATGGACAAGACAGAGCTGGGCTGCCTTCGAGCCATCGTCCTCTTCAACCCAGGTCAGTGGGTCATACCTGCTTGCAGGGGCATCAAGCACCCCAAGAAATCTGAGGGGGCACAAAGTACGTGAGGATGGCTAAGTTGGAGAATTTAGAATTTTTTCAAACGCCTGATACAGCTTTTTCCTGCAATCTAGAGCCATCGATATAATTAATTCTATGTCAGAAATATGTCTATTTTTCTGCATATCTATACCCATTAGGCATGTCAGCAAAGATAGTTAGACAAGTTACTCTAACTTGACTGATAGCCTGAAATGGCGTCTTGGTAGCTAGTGATGAGGTTGGGAGGTTAGGACCCTATCTGGGCTAAAGCCAACTTCATAACATTTCTAAGTCGCTAGTAGTATTGCAGAGAAAAAACGAAAAAAATATATATTTTTATAATGTGAGGGGGCACGTGCCCCTGTGCCACCTATAGGCATTACACCTCTGTCTGATTAATTACACCAACAGTTATGATACTGGTTTGTTATTTAAATGACTTCCTTTTTCTGTGTTCTCTGTGTGGCGTATGAGGGAAGGAATGTGGTTGTTGATGTATTGTTGCAGTCAGAGATGGTTGGACATGACCTTGTGGCCTGTTGCTGGGCAGTCTTCATGTTAGCGGACGTGACCATGATAAAGGAGGCCACAATAGATTACTATGGGTCATTGGAATGTTGGTGTCGGTGTGATGGGTCATCGGGCAGCATGACTGTATCTTAATGTTCTGGTGTGAGTGACTAGGACTTTGTGTAAGTAGTCCGTTTTTACTAGAGGCCCTCATTATTAGCCAAATAATGATAATTCTGTGCAAAAAAATCAAAATTTAGACCGGCCCATTGGTCTAAACATGGACCAGCCCATCTGGCATTTGCCCGAACTGCCCTATGGCCAGTCCGTTTCTGGGCGAAGGTGAATTTATAAAGGCATCAGACTGACTGTAAATGTTCTGTTGTTGCAGATGCAAAAGGCCTGTCGAATCCACCGGAGGTGGAAGGGCTGAGGGAGAAGGTCTACGCCTCGCTGGAGTCCTACACCAAAGCCAAGTACCCAGACCAGCCCGGCAGGTACAGTATTCACAGCTCATACAGACAGGGTTGGGGTCAATTCGAATTGAAGTCAGTCAATTCAAGAAGTAAACTGACATTCTAATTAAATAATTAAAAAGGGGGCATCTATTTTCAATGACTTCTCAATAAGCTGTAAAAGGAGAAGCTGTTTATGTCAAACTTTTTCAAATTCAAATCACTTCCTAAATTTACTGACTTCAATTAGAATTGACCCCAACGCTGCTACAGACCGGACACATCCCAATACAATCTGATCACTGCCTTAGTCTCCTATTGTAATTGACCATTTCTTTTAAATAAATTGTTTTCCTTTAATATTGTGAACACCTATTGGGCACTCTCACAGGAAAGTGAGACATTCCTTGAGAAGAGGACAATGAACCATGAACGAGTATTATGACATGGTCATAGCCAGGTTTAATCTTTTGTTTCTTGTGACCCTCCCTTCCTCCTAGGTTTGCTAAACTGTTGCTGCGTCTCCCCGCCCTGCGCTCCATAGGCCTCAAGTGTCTGGAGCACCTGTTCTTCTTCAAGCTGATAGGAGACACGCCCATAGACACCTTCCTCATGGAGATGCTCGAAGCGCCACACCAAATCACATGACACGAGTCCCACTTCCCTCTGTATATACTCCCACAATGTAATTGATATGAAGATGAAACTTGATTCAAGTTGTAAAACAGACATATTTTGTACAAAGCACAAATTATTATTAATGTCAACAATTTGTATTTTTTGGGGGTATGAGGAGGGCCGGTTTAAGGGAGTGGAGTGGGGTGTAAAAAATACACGGTTAAAACACATTATAATAAAATTGTTAAAATATTTTTTTCTAAATATATAATTTCAGGTATCCATTTTAAAAGCAACCCAAAGCAATATTGAAAATAATATTTTATTCAAAGATGAATTGTATAAAACCGAAACCATCCCAAATGCATTTTAGAATTCTTCCAGAATAAAATTATTTAAAATTATGATTTTTTGAATAGTTTTGTTAATGATGTTTCTCATGCCTTAATGATTAAACAGACTTAGCGGTGTTGTATATCACATATTCATGTAGAGTCAAGTCCAACATTATTGGCACCCTTGATAAAGATGAGCAAAAAAGACTATCAAATAGATAACACTCATACTGAGCCATATTGTATGCTAAAAAAATATTACAGTGGGGAGAACAAGTATTTGATACACTGCCGATTTTGCAGGTTTTCCTACTTACAAGGTATGTAGAGGTCTGTAATTTTTATCATAGGTACACTTCAACTGTGAGAGACGGAATCTAAAACAAAAATCCAGAAAATCACATTGTATGATTTTTAAGTAATTAATTTGCATTTTATTGCATGACATAAGTATTTGATCACCTACCAACCAGTAAGAATTCCGTCTCTCACAGACCTGTTAGTTTTTCTTTAAGAAGCCCTCCTGTTCTCCACTCATTACCTGTATTAACTGCACCTGTTTATATAATATATTATTTTATACTGATGCAATTTCTCAGCAAAATAGATTTTGTTCCACAAGTAATACAAAAAAATCTCTAAAAGACGGGGGTCAAAATTATTGGCACCCCTGTTTTCAATACTCCATCACCCTCCCCTTACAAGGATAACGGCACTGAGCCTTTTTCTAAAATGTTTTATGAGATTGGAGAACACATTGGGAGGGATCTTAGACCATTCCTCCATACAGAATCTGTCCAGATCATTGATATCCTTAGCCTGCGCTTATTGACTGCCCTCTTCAATTCAAACCACAGGTTTTCAATGGGGCTCAAGTCCAGAGACTGAGATGGCCATTGCAAAATATAGATTTTGTGGTCAATTACCCATTCCTTTGTGGATTTTGAAATGTGCTTGGGGTTATTGTCTTGCTGGAAGATCCACTCTCGGCCAAGTTTCAGCCTCCTGGCAGAGGCAACCAGGTTTTTGGCTAAAATGTCCTGGTACTTGGTAGAGTTCATGATGCCATTGACCTTAGCATTCTACAGTAAGTATGAGGTACTTTTCTACATTTGCCTCCGTTTTCGACGCCAAACCCCATCGCTCTATTTTCAAGTCATATGATCATAGCGCCGCCTGGAGTTTGCTAAATGGCATTGGCACTTGGATTGGAACGGTGCTATGGTCAGATAATCCACAAATAAATGGTTAATTGACCACAAAATCAGCATTTTGTGATTGCCATCTCAGTCTCCAGACTTGAACCCTATTGAAAACCTGTGGTTTGAATTGAAGAGTGCAGTCCATAAGCGCAGACGAACGATATCAAGGATCTGGAAAGATTATTTATAGAGGAATGGTCTAAGATCCCGCCCAATGTGTTCTCCAATCTCATTAAACATATACATCTCATAAAAAGGCTAAGTGTCGTTATCCTCGTAAGGGGAGGATGCTGGAATATTGAAAACAGGGTTGCCAATAATTTTGACCCCTATCTCTTTGAGATTTTTTTTTTAAATGATTTATTAAACAAAATCTCTATCTCTGAACAATTGTATTAGTACAAAATAATATATATATATATATATATATATATATATATATATATATATATATATATTGCATATAATAATATAGCTTTGTATTTATTTTATAGCCAGTTTTTTTTTGCTAATCTTTATCAAGGGTACTAATAATTTTGGAACTGACTATGTGTTTTTAGATCAATAAATGTAGGTTTACCCAGGTAGGCTGATAGCCTATCCAGGTGATACCTTTCATGGACCATCGGTAGTACACTACTGCGCCTGAATGTCTTGTTTCCTCAATGAGCGACTAGAGGGGGTGAGTAGCTCTACTCTATGGAGTTCTCAGCACTCGTGGGGCATTTAAGCCCTGAACAGCGCCTGACAGGCAGCCCCGTCTCCCAGGACGCGTTCAGCCCCCAAGACCAGAGACAATCGCATGCAAGGAACAACGAGCCGTCGAGCCACATTCAACCAGAGCCAGAAAGCTGAAGCCTAGAGGAAACAAGGTAATATAGCTAGCATCTTTCAAAATTAAGGCAACTTTATGCTGCTATATCACTGCTATTATATCAGACTGATTTGTTGTAGATGAGCAATCTTTTTGTGTTTGTTAGCTAGCTTGCTGCCAGGGCTGCCAACAAGCTCACTTGGCTAGCTAGTCTTGTGAGCTAGCTAGCTAGGTAGTCTTGTGAGCTAGCTGGTTAGTTAGCTAGGCAGTCTTGTTAGCTAGCAAGCTAGCTAGTTATCTATGATAGTTGTTATCTTGCATAACTGATATGCTTATAATTATAAGGGACACTTCATGTTTTGTGGATAATATTTAAATGTACAGAGCTCCATTCCTGACAGGCTGATCAGATTAGCTTTCAGCCTCAGAAGCTGATATGTTTAGATGCTGCCTTTTAGGATGTTTCATGAGCAAATCTCCTTGCAGTCAAAGTGCCTTATAGGCTGATGCATATGATCCAGTGGGTGAGCTCTATTCCTGCCTGGCTGATCAGATTCAATAGCAGCCTCAGACGCTCATAAATCAGGATTCTACCATTCATGGTTCCTTGTTGACAATTAACCCCTTCCCTCCTCTCTGCCAGCTCCCTTTGCCACTCCAGACTAGCCAGGTCTCTAGGCAGCATGACTGTAGTGGCCAGCAACAGACAGCCAGTGTGCTGTGAGCCCAGCGGCTGCCATAGAGGCACAGACAACAACACAGACAACGCAGGCAGCCCAGTCTGCACAGGCAACCTGCCCAACCTAAACATGCTGCAGGCCCCTCAGAAGGAAAGCCCACCTATAGCCCCTCCTCAACCCCTCTCTCTGGGCTCAACCTCTCTCTGGGCTCAACCTCTCCCTGGGCTCAACCTCTCTGGGCTCAACCTCTCTGGGCTCAACCTCTCTCTGGGCTCAACCTCTCTCTGGGCTCAACCTCTCTCTGGGCTCAACCTAACCCTTTTCCTTTTTTATTTGAATGTCTCTCCTAACAGACGCACTGTGTCCAGAGGATGGAAACCTCGATGTTCTTTACAATCAATACACTTTACGAGACTATGGTATCTATTTCCCTTCTCCCTTTCATTGTATGTCTCACTGCTCTGTTCTACGCTGTTGCGTTTGTGTGCGAGATTGGTTTCCCACGTCCTTTATGAAGATTAGAATGGACAGACTGCATGCATATTAAACTATTGCATACTGTGTCATTCTTAATCCCTCTATAGGGTCTTTAATGAAAAGAAGATAGTGTAGTATTATTGAGGTTTTGCAGTGTATGATCTGTATGTCCCATATCTCTCTTCCTGGGTGTAACTGTGTGCATTTTGTCCCTTCAGTCACTCCATACCCAAAGCCAGAGCTCATCTACAGTGCTCAACCTGGGGTTCAGATTTCTTTCAGCTCCTGCAAATTTAGATTTTGTCTTAATTTCTTAAGAAGGACTGGTTTATTTTACTTGATTCAGTCCAGTCCAGTCCAGTCCATTGTTGATTAAGGGATGATGTTGATGAAGAAATCTGATGTCTCCAATTGTGAATGGGAAGGACGAGTTATCGGTTCGTTTGGAATTAATTTGCCAACCCTTTCTATCACAAGACACTTCTTTTTTATATTTCACTGTTTATATCATGGAACAAACGTATCACATAAAGGGTGTGTGTCTTAAAATGACTCTATTCCCTCTATAGTACACTGCTAGTCCTGGCCAGAAGTAGTGGGAATAGAGTGTCGTTTCAGATGGACATACTCATTGCCTGATTGTTTACGTACTAGTAGAAGGATGCCATAGCAACCCATACTGATCCTGAACCGTAATACTAAAATGTAAATCTGCGTGTTGATGGAGCTCCTTCTGAGCTAGGCACCTCTCAGATGTCTTAACCTTTGTATGACATGGATCAGTTCTTGCCCAGGTGTTTGGGAGTTGAGGTGTTTTGTAGATTAAATCATTTGTGAAAAGCCTAGCTTAAGTCGTCCCTCTAGAACAAGCACAATGTACTACTGTAGGGAGTATGCTCTTCTTCAAGCATCTTTCAGAATGTTGCAGATAGAAATGTAATGCATAGAGTAACTTATATGATGCCACCCTATTGAATAATAGATGGTTTGTCCACATTGTACATTCTCATTCTATTCTGCATGTTGTTTCACTTAACATACCCCAGCTTTCTTTCAGTCTCCTGTGAAGCTTCTAGTCCACTGTCTTTTTTTCGTTGAGCTGCTGTACTTCAACTGGAAATAAGTAATTTGATATTACTGAAAACAATTAATTTGTACTTTGCAAATATTGTTGCTCTTGTTTTGATGAATCAGATAGTAATCAGCCTCACATACAAGATGGTCCTAAAGGGGCCTCATCTCATTCATGATTATCATGCGCTAAATATCTGCTCAGAGCACATGGAAATACCCCCACTTATACTCACCATTGTCTTTGACAGTTATTTACTTGGGACCAGATTCAGACATGTCATTTATAGAGGCATGGCGACGTCCCGCACGTGTGCTGTACAAAAAAAACAACTGAATGTTCTGTTCATGGACACCCTTCGCTAGCACCCTTCGCTAGCACCCTTTTATTGTACCCTTCATTGTGCCGGATTAGTGTACATTTTTCATGTACTTAGGCAGTGTTTACACA